GCCTCCCCTGTGGCCAGGAGGGGGGATGGGACGTGTTGGGGGTGGAGACCCTTTACGTTCCCATGGAGACGTTTACGTTCATCGGAACGCCCCCAGGCGTCCACTGGAGGTGGGTGGGACTTATCTTTGGAGACTAACCCTGGAGAAAGTTGATTTATTTTTTTAAATATATTTTATTGATTTTTTTACAGAGAGGAGGGAGAGGGATAGAGAGTTAGAAACATCGATGAGAGAGAAACATCGATCAGCTGCCTCCTGCACACTCCCCACTGGGGATGTGCCTGCAACCAAGGTCCATGCCCTTGACCGGAATCGAACCTGGGACCCTTGAGTCCGCAGGCCGACGCTCTATCCACTGAGCCACACCGGTCAGGGTGAGAAAGTTGATTTAAAGAAACCCTGTGGCCCTGACCGGATAGCTCAGCCGCTTAGAGCATCGTCCCTACAGACTGAGGTTGTGGGTTCGATTCCCGGTCGGGGCCGGTATGGGAGGCAGCCCATCGGTGGTCCTCTCCCACATCGATGTTTCTCTCTCTCTCTCTCTCTCTCTCTCTGTCCCTCTCTCTCTCTCTCAAATCAATACATAGGTCCCTCAGTTCATAAACAAACCCAAACTCAAAAACGCTGTCACTGAATATGCAGGTCCGGCCCAGTCGCTCTCTGGCTTACCAAACACCCTTCAGACTTCCTCGTATCTTCTAGCCCAGTGGTCAGCAAACCGCGGCTCGCGAGCCACATGCGGCTCTTTGGCTTCTTCAGTGTGGCTCTTCCACAAAATACCGACTTCTGCGCATGGGCCACGAAGTTTCAATCCCACTGTACATGCGCGCCCGCACGTGGTATTTTGTGGAAGAGCCACACTCCAGGGGCCAAAGAGCCGCATGTGGCTCTCGAGCCACGGTTTGCCGACCACGGGTCTAGCCATTCCAAGCTCCCGGCCCCGCACCCAGGCCTGGACCCCAGTCCTGCCTCGCCCCGTAGAGACGGCGGGGAGCCCCCCGCCCCCCGGGAAGCCCTCCTGTCCTTTTGTGTTGGGGCCCTGAACTCGGGGCAGGTGGGCTTTCTGGTGCTGTGTGAGGCCCCGCAGCGGGAGCACAGGGGTCCGGAGCGTGACCCCCGCGGACAGGGCGCCCCCAGCAGGAGGCAGGTGCTCCAGGAGGGAGCTCAGCTCCCTGGCTGAGTGACAGGCCCGGGCTCTCGGCTCCCCCAGGGCACTGCCCTCCGGGGCCCCCCTTCCCGCCTCCCCAGCACCCACTTCTGCTTCCTCCCTGCCCTCTGGTTGGAGTTCGGGGATCGGAAGCCCCATGCCCGCAGGCTTTTCTCTCGGACTTCCCCTGAGACGGCGCGTGGGGAAGCCAGAGAAAATGCTGCTTTCGCTCAGCCGAGTGAGAGAAAAACGAAACCGATGCAGCCGCAGCCACGGGTCAGGCTGACGGGGACGTGGAGCGTTTGTACAAGACTTCCCGTCACCGGCCGTGGTAACAATAGGGTTCCGGCGACGTCACGGCTGCCAGCTGTGGGCTGGGGGGACGGAGGGACCCGAGGCAGCCCCTCCCCAGGCGGGGCCTCCGCAGAGGCACCACCAGCGCATCCCCCTGAAATGTGCTGTTCATTTTTTCCAACTTGTTGTTGTTGTTAATCCTCACCTGAGGCTATTTTTCCATTGATTTTTTAAAAAATACATATTTTTTATTGCCCTGGCCGGTTTGGCTCAGCGGATAGAGTGTCAGCCTGTGGACTGAAGGGTCCCGGGTTCGATTCCAGTCAAGGGCACAGGCCTGGGTTGTGGGCTCCATCCCCAGTGGAGGGTGTGCAGGAGGCAGCCGATGAGTGATTCTCTCTCATCATGGAGGTTTTTTTTAAAAAAATTTTTTTTTTATTGATTTCAGAAAAGAAGGGAGGGGGAGAGCGAGAAAAACATCCATGATGAGAGCATCATGAACTGGCTGCCTCCTGTACGCCCCCCACTGGGGATCGAGCCTGCAACCCGGGCATGTGCCCTTGACCAGGAATCGAACCCTGACCTCCTGGTTCTTAGGTCGATGCTCAACTCCTGAGCCAGGGCGGCCGGGCCTGTGCATGGTTTTTGCCTCCTCCCCTCCCTCTCTGGCTGCCTTCCTCTACTCTTTCCTCCCCCTATCTCCCTTTGGCCTCTATGACCTTAGTTTAAAGAAACCCCACCCCAACCCTGGCTGGGTGGCTCCGTGGATAGAGTGTTGGCCTGCGGACTGGAGGGTCCCCAGTTCGATTCCAGTCAAGGGCACGTGCCCGGGTTGTGGGCTCGATCCCCAGCTCTGGTCGGGGCGCGTGCGGGAGGCACCCAATCCATGTGTCTCTCACATCGACGTTCCTCTCTGTCTCCCTCCCGTCCACTCTCTGAGAACCAGGGGAAAAACACCCGCTGGTGAGGATTCGCAGCACCCCGAAGGCGCATTCGTGGGCAGGCAGTCCTGCCCCCAGCTCCCTCGCCGTCTGCCCGCAGAAGCCCTGCTCCCCAACACAGCAGGAGAACTGGGGTGAGACCCCACGTGCAGACGCGCTCAGAGGACCCCTGGAAGCTGGACTTCTCGCGTGGGAACCCTCTCCCCAGGCGCCCCCCGCCCTCGGCTTCTGGGTGGGAGGGGGCTTGCCCTCCGAGGCCCTCCTATCCCGCGGAGAACGCGCCTGGGCCGGCCCTGGGCCTGGGAAGGAGCAGGATGCGGTCAGCGTTCCCTCTGAAGCTGCCGGAAGCCCAGCGGGTTTCTGCCCCGGTTCCGCCTGGGGGAAAGGAGAAGTGGACCTCAGCGGTGTCTCCCCACCGTCACGCACCCCGGACCCTGCTCTGGGAGCGGCGGGGGTCGGGGTCGTCTCTCCCACTCCACACCCCAAGGGACCCTCGTTGGTCACTGCTTTCTGCTCCCTGGTCAGGGCAGGAGGTGGACTCATCACTAATAAAGACATATTAAAGCGCCCTGGCCGGTGTGGCTCAGTGGATAGAGCGTCTGCCTGCGGACTGAACAGTCCCGGGTTCTATTCCTGGTCAGGGCACGTGTCCGGGTTGCGGGCTTGATCCCCAGTGTGGGGCGTGCAGGAGGCAGCCGATCTGTGATTCTCTCTCCTCATTGATGTTTCTCTCTCTCCCCCCCTTCCTCTCTAAAATGAATAAAAATATATGTATATTTTAAAAACATACTAAAGAAATAAACAGTTCAGTGGTGTTTGGTATGTTCATAAGATTGTGTGGCCACCACTTCTGTGTGATTCTCAAACATTTTAGTCATAAAACAAAACCCGCACCACGTAAGCAGTTCGCACCCCCCGCTCCGCATGCCCCACGCACCTGCCTGCTTCCTGTCTCTGTGCATCTGCTCAGTGTGGGTTTTTCATATATTGGCACTTTCCGCTTGGCGTAATTTCTTTTCTTTTTTTTTTTTTTTAAAAAATATATTTTATTGATTTTTTACAGAGAGGAAGGGAGAGAGATAGAGAATTCGAAACATAGATGAGAGAGAAACATCGATCAGCTGCCTCCTGCACATCTCCTACTGGGGATGTGCCCGCAACCCAGGTACATGCCCTTGACCGGAATCGAACCTGGGACCTTTCAGTCCGCAGGCCGACGCTCTATCCACTGAGCCAAACCGGTTTCGGCAATTTCTTAAAAATATTTTTATTGATCTCAGAGAGGAAGGGAGAGGGAGAGAGAGAGAGAGAAACATCCGTGATGATAGAGAATCATGGATCGACTGCCTCCTGCACGCCCCACACTGGGGATGGAGCCCGCAACCCGGGCCTGTGCCCTGACTGGGAATCGAACCGTGACCTCCTGGTTCACAGGTCGACACTCAGCCACTGAGCCACACCGGCCAGGCTTGGCACAATGTTTTTGAAATTCACCCACATTGTAGGGCTCAGTTTATGGCTGAACAATGTTCTGGCCCTGGCCGGTGGGCTCAGTGGTTAGAGTATTTCCCCCACTGAAGGGTTCTGGGTTCGATTCCCGGTCAAGGGCGCATACCTCCATTGCAGTTCTGTTTCCCAGCCCTGGTCAGGGTGCGTGCGGGAGGCAACCAATAGACGTGCCTGTCTCCCATCGATGTTTCTCTCTCTCTCCCTCTCCCTCTGTAGAAAAAAAAAAGTCAAAATATCCTTGGGTGAGGATTAAAAAATAATAATAACGTCCCCTAAATTTGCTAATCCGTTCCTCTGTTGATGAACATAGGGGTTCTTCCCACCTTGTTGTTGTTTTTTTTAAATCTTTATTGTTGGGAATATTCCATACACTGAGTGGCCAGATGATGATGACCACCCATCAGTACAATGAAGTGAATTCGTTATGCAAATAATAATGATAATAAAACCTTGGGAGTATTTGCTTAGGGAGTTTTCAGTATTCAGTATTTTTGGAAGCGGCCATGAAGTGCTGATGGGGTGGTCACCATAACCTGGCCGGTCATAATAATCTAGCCACCTGTCTTGCCGGTTTGGCTCAGTGGATAGAGCGTCAGCCTGCAGACTGAAGGGTCCCCAGGTTCGATTCCGATCAAGGGCGCATGCCTGGGTTGTGGGCTTGGTACAACCTGCAGGAGACAGCCAATCAATGATTCCCTCTCATCATTGATGTTTCTATCTCTCTCTTCCTCTCCCTTCCTCTCTGAAATCAATAAATATATATATATAAAAAAAATCTGGCCCCCCTGCCTCGTGGCCCCTGTGCGTCATGGTACTGCTGTGTGTTTAAATATGTCTGCGTCCCGGTTCTCATTTATTTGGGGCGGTTCTCAGTTATTTGGGGCGCATGCACTTGGCTGCGGGATTGCCCGGCCGCGGGGTGGTTTCTGAATGAACGACCCGGGGAATTGCCAGGTTCCCCCGGGGCCAGTCGCGCTGTCTCTGCGCCCCTCGCGTGGGGCCCGGCAGCTGGAGCAGCCACCCCGCCGGATGGGGAAGTGCCCCCCTCCCCCCTCGGTCTCGGGGAGGAGCCGCTCTGAACTTTCCCTTTCGCCCCCGCCTCGGCGCAGAAGGGCCTGGAGGAAGGAGCCGGTGATGCCACAGAAATTCCACGGCCCTGATGTCACCTCGGGGCGGCCCAGCGGCCCCCGCGCGCCCTGCTCTTCTCCATGCGCCCTGCGCTCCGGCCCCAGATCGCCGCCGTCGCTTCCCCGGGAAGGAGCCCGGGCCGTGGCCGTCGAAGGAGGATGAGCGACTGCGAGTTCGGCTACGTCCAGGCGCTGGCCCGGGACTACCTGTGCCACGTGCTGCAGCGGCCGCCGCCCCGGCCCAGCCCGGACAGGGTGTCCCGGCTGCTGCGGGCCGTGGCCTCGGCGGTGCAGAGGGACGCGGAGCGGACGCTGCGGCCGAGCCTGGACGACCTGGACGTGGCGTCCGTGGAGGCGGCCCGGGCCGTGTTCCAGGCCGTGGTGCGGCAGGAGTTCGCGGACGGCGTGGTCAACTGGGGCCGCCTCGTGACCGTGTTCGCCCTGCAGGGCATCCTCGCCAAGAAGCTGCTCCGCGCGCGCGTCGCCCCCGACCCGGACCAGGACCTGGACCGGGACCTGGACGCGGACACGTCCGAGGAGATCGCGCGCTTCGTGGCCGAGTTCATCACCTCGCAGGCGGGGGACTGGATCCGGCAGAACGGAGGCTGGGTAAATAGTCCTGCTCGCTCTTTGCTCCGAAGCGGGAGTTCGCGGTGTCCCGGCTGCTTTAAGGAATATATACACACACGCGCTTGGAATTAGTAATTAACTCAAAGGGCGTATACATCTTTTTTGGGGGAGGGGGGACACCCCGTATATATGGGTTGTGTTTGCAAGACCCTCTACCGGTCTTCAGGAGCAGCACGCAGCCCGGCCCGCAGTGCGCGCTAGGGTTGTCATGACAACGGACGCTCAGCCGCCACGGAGTCTGTCGTAGATGCTGTTCCGTTCACTTAGGAGGTTGCAAAGGGTGGGTGTCTCTTTCCGCAAGTTCATGGCTTCCAAGTTGGTGTTGGCTCCCCCCCCCCCGTCTTCTAAGACAGCGGTTCTCAACCTTCCTCACGCCGGGACCCTTTAACACAGTTCCTCATGCTGTGGTGACCCCCAATTTCATTGTGACAAATTGAACATAATGAAAGCATAGTGATTCATCACAAAAACAATACGTAATTATCGATGTGTTTTCCGATGGCCTTAGGTGACCCCTGTGAAAGGGTCTCCCCCCCTCCCAAAGGGGTCGCGACCCACAGGTTGAGAACCGCTGGTCTAAGGTAACAAATCCTGGCTGTGAACGCTTGATGATCAGAGGAGGAATGTACTGGCAGAAACTTGATTCGAGAATTTCCAAGTGAGAGTTCGCTCTATTGTCGAGGCCTCAGAAAGCCAGGGCCCTGGGTGGGGCCGCTGTTAGAAGTCACGTCACGGGGCCTTTCACAGGGGGTGTCTCTGCTTTTTCTTTTTTTAAAAAATATATTTCTTTATTGATTACAGAGAGGAAGGGAGAGGGAGAGGGAGAGAGAGAAACATCCATGATGAGAGAGAATCATGGATCGGCTGCCTCCTGCACGCCCCACACCGGGGATGGAGCCCACACCCCAGGCATGTGTGCCCTTGGCCGGAATCGAACCCGGGACCCTTCAGTCTGCAGGCCGACGCTCTATCCACTGAGCCACACCGGCCAGGGCTCCGCTTTTTCTTTATGTCCCAGCACTTGATGCTTCGCTTCTTAAAAACACTGTGTCCCCAGGCGCCTTCTCCGCACACCCCCCCCCCTCACCTGGGCCCTCCCCTCTCCCCAGAGGGAACCCCTGTTATCAGTTATTATACATGCAAAACGTAGCTGTTGATTATAGCCACAGAAAGTACCCATAGTGCATCTTTGTAAAAGGTTTTTAAAATATGTATACTAGTACATGGCAACTTATTCTGATTTTTCTTCACCCGAAGGTATTTAAAATAGTATTTTTATTTATTTTTTTAAAAATATATTTTTTATAGCTGCCCTTTTTTAAAAACTTGATTTCTTCTTTTCTTAAATATATACTTTTATTGATCTCAGAGAAGAAGGGAGAGGGAGAGAGAGACAGAAACCCCAATGATGAGAGAGCATCATGGATCGGCTGCCTCCCGCATGCCTCCCACCAGGAATTGAGCCCACAACCCCGGGCGTGTGCCCTTGACCGGGAATCGAACCCGGGACCCTTCAGTCCGCAGGCCGACGCTCTAACCACTGAGCCACACCGGCCAGGGCTGAATTGACTAGATCTGCGCCATCCACAGCGTTTCTACCAAGTCCCCCTCCAGCACAGCTGGTGAGAGCATCAGGTGTTTGCCCCACACCCCCCCCCCACCCCCTCGCCGCTGCCTTACACTCTGCTGTAGAGATCTCGTCATTCCCACCCTCTGTCCTAATGCAACTGGTTGAAGTCTTGCCCCCCCAATGACTAGTGGGGTTATGG